CCAGGTTAGAGCAGCAATGGTGGTATATGTTAAAGAGAGTGCTGCTACATCATGTCTGTAATTTGAAACGTGGAATTCAGTCATGGATGGAGGAGTTGTTCTTGAAAGGTCTGTGAAACTTGAGAGATGCTTAAAGTCCAACTGGGAATGTGCTGCCATCTCTGATTATTTAATCATATTAATTGATATTTAAGACCTTCAGTCCTTAATGATATAAGTAACAAGTAAGTCAAGTGTAGTTGAACCATTAGAATGGACTACTTCCCAGCAAATTAGTGTCTTTCAACTTATTTTAGTACTTACAGTTTCTATGTGTTAGGGGACTTTATTCCAATTAATGCTTGTTATTGCTGAGTGATATCCCTGTTGTGACCTATTGTGCTCTTCATATTGCAAAAAGGGAAATAATTAGATATGTATATCTTACTGTTTTCTTTTTCCAAATTTTAAATGGCATGAGTTTTTTTTTTTATCAACTATGGTAACCCAATGAGGATTTATGTCATTGACATCAGTGTGATGAACAGTTGTTCTGGTTATTTGTTTTAGATAATCATTTGTTAACTAGTTACTCACAGTTCTAGGTAATTCATGGTTTGGTGCATTGACATAGAAGGCTTTTTATAACTTAAGACTATATCTGGTAGCTGCAGAAATGGATCAGCTAGGGGGGAGAGAGGAGGATATTGACCACAAAGTTTGTAAACCTAGAGATTAGGGGTATTAGTCTGATGTTGATAAATGTGATTAGATTTGCTTGTACAAAGGAATAAAAGTTGCTCTTCTGTTGACAAAATATAGTCTGTAAAAGTGCGAATTGAAATTGTAACCATAGGTTGTATGGATTTTCAGAATGCAAGAGGTTCAGGTCCCATATTGCACTCCATTAGTTATGTGCAGGAGTAGCCTCATTCTGTAGACCTGTGATACAGTGATTTAGCTGAGTTTATCTGCAGACTCAAATGGAGAACAGCCTTCATTCATGAACAAATTGAATTAAGTAGCCTATGCTGGATGCCATCTCACTGTTGGGTGGCAGAGATTGATGGATTCCTCTTTTGTTGTGTAGGTCAAAACCGTGGCAAGGCAAAGAGGTCCTTCCAGTGGGAAACATGATTGAAAGAATCCAGGATTTCCTCGCCCGAGTGCTTTCCTGTGACTGAGCACTTTAAGAAGCTATTTGCCATTCTATTCTTTACCTTTCATTATGATGAATTTTATGGGATGGTTAATATCTGGTTTATTTTCCCTAATAGAGGGGTATATGAAGTAAAATCTGCAACTCAGAGCATATTAGGAGAGGTGTTAAATTCCCCATTTAATGTTGTTGAACTGGTATTGGATTGAATGGCATCTGGCAAGTATCTGAAAGAAAGGACTGAATGCTCAAGTTTCTTTGTCTTAACATGTTTACCAGAGAAACTTGAATATGCACAGAGTTTAACAGGAAAATCACTTAATTTTACATCTGGAAAACCGTTTTATTGCTTAATATTCTTGCTATCTTTGTATCAATTCTGTTTGTCTTGAGATGTCAATGATTCTCTGTGCATATGCCTTGCCCGACCTTCTCAAACAGCAGTGTGTGAAGAATGTTTCATTTGCAGATGGAAGGTGGCAGCACTGGGGAGAAGCTTTGGTTTTGTAAGGCAAGGTATCCCTCCATAGTCTTGTGCGAGTACCCTCTGGCTAACTAATTTTTACACATTTTCATAATATACAAGTCTTATCTTTTTTCCTAAGACTAGAGTATCTTATCTTCACAAGTCACAAACATTTATTTTGTGTGAAGAGAGGGAATCAAGCATCAAGTAGTTATGTAATGTTCTCTTCAGTTGTTGACACATTTATGTTTTAATATGACTGAAGGAGCTTACTGATCATGGCTCAGTCATTCTTTAGTTTTTTTTTATTAAGCTGCCAAGAATGTGTATGCGTAGATGAGGGTTGAATACAGGGATTTCAAGAACGTATTTATCTTATAAGGCGTCATTATGGATGTGTTGCAGGTGAAAGTGTAGGAAAAGAGTAAGGCAAATGTGAATCGACCTGCAGCGCTCATTCTGAGTCTTGCCTCCAGTTGCAGGTAGCATTTATTCCTTTCATTCCTCGTTGACAATGTTTCCCATGAGAAGGTCGGGCCAGTCCTTTTATGGTTTTATTGCAGGTGTGACACGCATCCGAAGCAAACATCATCTCCCCCTTAGCCTTATGGAACAGATATCTTTAATTATTTACTACTTGACTGTTTTGTGGAGTGTGTAATCTGTCTCTTGGCAGTTGTCATGTCGGACTCCCTTTATGACCCATCTTATCATTATTTTACTGGAATCTATTCGTAGCAATTACTAAATGGTGACAACAGTCATTGATATGAATATTTCTCTCTTTTTTCTCCTCTCTTCCCCTGCTGCTCCCTTCTCCTTGTGTCCCCTTTCCCTTCCCCATGGTGCTAACGGGTCCGATCTGGTGCATAGGACCACAGTTCAGCTCCTGTTGAAAATGGAGTCTTTGGCAAGGAAAAGGACAAGAATCGGAATAGGGATAAGGACAAGGAGAAGGACAAGGATAGGGACCGGGATCGAGACCGAGACCGAGTCCGGGGCCGGGACCGAGATCGAGATCGAGACCAAGACAGAGACCGAGACAGAGTCAGAGTCAGAGACAGAGACAGAGACAAAGACAAAGATCGGGATCGTGATCGGAAGAAGGAAAGGGACCGGGATCGTGACAAGGACCGTAACAAAGACAAAGATCGTGACAAGGATCGAGAGGACAAAGACAGAAAGAAATCATCCAGGTGAGTTAAGTATTCACATGCATTATCAAGTGAATTTCATTGTGCAAGTTTCAAAGAGTCTCCCCAGAGTCAAATACTGTAGATCTAAATAATGAGAAGAAGAAAGAGTAAAACCAGACCCAAAATATCAGCATCTAAACCCTCTCCTTGCCATTATAATATACTGTATATGTGTAGAATGCAGTTCATATAGAAAAGATGGAATATTTTCATACCTACTTGAGTGAAAATAATCTTCCAATATATGGTCCTCTGCAGTCTAACAAATGGTATGAAATGCACTGAAATTAGACAGTCCTGAGGTGGTCCAGGAACTTTTTATGAATCTTTGGCTACAGTTCTATGGTTTGATTTCTGGGGCATGATTCATTTCTGTCAATGAGAGAAATCAGAATTTGAATTTGAAACTGTCAGTATGAGTTTTTTCTCTTTGCACCTGCTATATATTGGCTGACACAAACACTGGATTGAAATTGTTCATTGTATTGTTCAGTGTGTTGAATCAGAGGCATTCCAGGTCAAGTAGTAAAACGATGGTTGCATTTCTCATAGGTATTTACTTTTAAAAATTTGTACATGGTGACCTCTGAGCTACAACAGAAACCCAAATTTCAGCTCCCTAGCACAAACAGTTCTCCAGATATTCAACCCCCAAAGTTAGGGCCCCCCCCCCCCCAAGGAAAAGTGACCCCATGGGTCTAATGGATGGCTAAATTTGTCCTACTAATTGATCTAGAAAAGAGTTTTTGAGCCCAGGTGATACCTGAAACAAAGTTGAATCATGTTTCACTGATGCACTTATCTGTAGTTTTATAAAAATGAAGATTTAGATTTAAAATTTTTGAAAGTGTCTAAATTTTGCATTCAAATGTATACAGTGGGAATCATGGTAACACAATGAGCTTTAGCAGCATTGCAATGCTAGCCAATAAAAGTGAAATTAGTTAAATTTTAACTGCTTACCTTGTTTGAAATAATGACAAATTAAATTTGAAATTTCCCAATTTGTCATTTTTCATTCACTGACAGCTTATATTTCCTGTTCCAAAAAATATAGTGTCTGAAACTATTGTCAAATGAAAGCTTCCTCCAAGCTCTTTCCATAGATGCATGACTTTTGCTGTTACATTGCACTTTATAACTTGTCCTTTTGAAATAATTTACCAAAATTCTTAGCTATGGGAATCCTGATGACACAAATCGGTCTTGGTAAACTTCAACAGAGACCTTTGAACAGCTTTAGTTCCTTTTCCCCCACTTTGTTTTTTCTAGCATCAGTGAATTACAATGTGAAAATTAAAAAATTCCAATTATTTCTTTTCCTCTTTTACTGTTTCAGACTAAATGCTAGAATGAAATGTCTGAGTTACTTTAATACTGTGTGAAATTGACAGTCTTATTTCTTCAGGTTCAGCTTTTAGACTTGCATATAGATTTACACTGCTGAGAAAAGACGTCAGCAGCTACCACCTTAGTACATGAATGCAGCCCATATCTCCAGAAGTTGAACTTATTACTGATATATGCCACTGGGAGATTGCAGAATTCATGTCACTTACCAAGAGTAGACCAATGCCATCAATCACTTTACCAGGTTCAGCATTTTGTACCATGTATACAGATCTTGGAATAAATTATTTAGGTACTACATGGTACTAAATCCTAAACCAGAAAATATAATTAGACTGTTGTCATCTTGAGAATTTTTGCTATGTTAGTCAAGCATATGTCATGATACTGTGAGAAAGTTACCCCGTGGGGTCACTTTTCCCCTGGGGGCTGACTTTTAGGCTAAGATCTTGAGAACTGTTTGTGCTAAAGTGCTGAAATTCTGGACTTTTTCATGGCTCAGAGAGGTCATGATGCATAAATTTTCTCAAGTAAATCCCTGTTGGATGCACAGCCAAATTAACTGAAATTTGACCTCTTGAGCTGGAATGTCTCATCACTGTCTTTAGGCATCACATTACTTGACAAAATTTAGTTTATCAAAATTAACTATGAACTGAGGCCATTAGTTGATATATACATCAGTGTTGCAACACATCATAGTAAATCTTCAATGACATATGTACTGCTTCAAGAAAGATATAGGGAGCAGTGGTGGTCTGACTTTCCAAATTTGTTTGAAATTTGCCTGTGATTTTCATGTGTTCTTTGACATGCATATATCCAAAGGTAAAAAAAAGTTTATAGATCCATGGCATGGTTAGGATACTCATCTTACTAGGGCTTGTGCTTTTTTAAAATTGGTTGGGTTACTTTAAAATGCTTAAGATACATGTGTTTGAAATACCAGTGATAAGAAGAAAAAGAAATCCAGAAGTCGGAGTCAAAGCCAGAGCCGAGATCGTGATAGAAAGAGGCGCTCCAAATCACATGAAAAGAAGAAGCGTTCCAAGTCTCGCTCTCGCTCGAAGGATCGCAAGCAAAAAAAGAGGAGCAGCAGTCACTCACAGTTAGTTTATATTCCTTTAATACCTCACTCCAATGGTCAAGGCATATAGAATCACCATATGCCATGACCACAATATGTCTGGTGTTCCCTGATTTGCTGAAGAACCATCTTTGAGTTATGATTCATTTTGAATTGCAGTCGAAGTCGAAGTCACTCTCGAGATCGAAAAAACCCACGAGGTCATCGTACAAGGTCCCGTTCTCCCATCAGGGCATATACTCCTCCAAACTGGACTCGCAGGCGAGACCGCAAGTCCATATCCCCATTTCGGTCCTCGTGGAGTGATGGCTATAAGATTGATCCCAAGACTGGGGTCATGTCACTTGCCAACATCAGGTAAGAAATTCTGATCTGTTCCTTTTCAGCTCCAGAATTGATCTCACTTTTTGTTTGTGAGAAGATTGAACACAAAATGAGTAGTAAATTGATGTGGAATTTTCAGGTATGGTTCTGACAACTTGACCCCTGAAGAGAGGGATGCACGCACAGTCTTCTGCATGCAACTTGCTGCTAGGGTTCGACCACGTGACCTGGAAGAATTCTTCTCATCTGTTGGCAAGGTGAGATCAAAAGAAACCATAATTTAATTTTTTATGAAAATGGAATTGATGCATCATTTCCCATGGCAGTCAACATTTTTACTATTTACTATTTCTTGGAAAGACTCAATTGGTCTGGAATGTTGTAAACTCTTAGAAAAGAGATAATTTTGACTGAATAGAAGTTGAGAAGAAGAGACAGTGAAATGAGAAAACCAGAGTCTACTCATTAGTGGACTAGTAGTTGTACCTCTACACATTCTTGTTAAGTAATGATGTCATATGCTAGCTAACCCCAGTATTTGCAATTGGACATGTGCCATAGCTGCTTTCAGAAAAATTGATTGGATATCACAGGTGAACTTGTCTTGCCAGTGGTGTTGGGGATAGCCATGTTTCCATGCTTAGAGATATCTGATATAGGATGGAGACCCCAAGGCAGAAGCCAGGGTGCTGGCATGTGTAAAACATGGTCAAATTTCCATATGCAATGATTTTTAAATTTGATTGTATTATTGGAGGCAGAAGTGGATGGTGGCATTGAAAATAAGTTCTAAATCATATTTCTAGTAACCATACTTGAGTAATGGCTATGGGTATGAAAGCCGTAACTCCTGCTTCCCATCATTGGAGAAATGTTATGTAGTTTCACCACCATGTCCACTTGAACCCTGACTACAATCCTGATTGGAATATTTGATATTCATAGGCTACACCATTGGGATTGATTTAATTAAATTCATTCAGCTTCCAGATTTGTCTAGATTCATAAAAACCAGGATATTCTTCTCATATTAATAAGAATTAGATTTTTTACTTTAAAAGTCTTGAATGTGTCCTTGAATCTGAACCTTGGATTCAAGAAGACCTTGAACTATTAGGCACGATACAGCTGCTTTCTAAGGGTCAGCTCTAAATTGCTTTCTTTCCTGAGTGTCCTTGAGGCTTTAACCTGCATTAGCTAGGCAGGAGGCCACCTGAGAGTGAGAGCGAGGCAGTCCATTGATGTGGAGGCAGTGGGTGTTGGAATCAGAACTCACAGCTGTACCAGGCCTTGACAAGCTTGTAATTTCATCTTATTACAGAAAGCTGTTGAATTGAAACTACAATGTTTCTTATGCAGGTCAGAGATGTGAAGCTCATCACAGATACCAAGACTCGTCGCTCCAAAGGCATTGCTTATGTGGAATTTGTGGACATCGAGTCTGTTCCTTTGGTGAGTCCATCAAGATCACTTGAGAATATTAATAGAGGATCACTTTTCTGCTATATTTTGAAGTTTTGCAGTTTCCCCCTGCTATAATACTGATAATATCTAAAGATAAAATCATGTTGCCTCTTGTCATATTCTGCTTGATTAATGATAACTGGCCAACAATGACCAATATTAGCATGAGGTTTATCACTGATACATGACTGCTATTGCTTGGTGATTTTTTTTAGGCATTAGGTCTGTCAGGACAGAAACTGTTAGGGGTCCCCATACAAGTGCAGCCAACACAAGCTGAGAAGAACCGAGCTGCCATGAATGCATCAGCCCAAGCCAATGTGAGCAAGCAGATTGGCCCTATGAAGCTTTACGTTGGAAGTCTACATTTCAACATCACAGAAGCCATGCTCAAAGGCATCTTTGAACCTTTTGGCAAGGTAGGAGAACAAGCTGGCAACATACAATTATCATCTCCTTTTTTTCCCACTGACTTTGCTTCAGTTTTCTTCTTGCATGTAACATTCTGTGTTAATGTCAGAGTTTCCACAATGAAACGGCTTCATTGAACCAATCAGAATAAACTAGTGAAGCTATCTTTAAAAGGTTTATCAAATTTTTAAGGGATCTAAGGGTTCATGGTGGAGTATGCTCATTTCAATGAGGAGGAACCAGCTTCCTTGTGATCTACTCCTAGAGAATTGATGACAGTCACACTCTGTGCCAGCATTGCTCCTGACTCTTATTCACCAGTTAAACATATTGTGTAGTGATCATACCTCATGCCACTAATCCAACATGACTGCTCAAAAACATTTCATGTTCATCAAATGCATTAGATCCTTGGATAGTTGGGTGTTTCAGAATTTATCTCCAGTGCATCAGCCTGGCTAAGCAATTATATAGGTGGATTTGATTGTCTGGTTATGGCCTATGGTATATGCTGTAGGAGTCATTTATATGTTCTTTTCTATTGTGTGAAATTGTAGATTGATGCTATTCAATTGATCATGGACCCGGAAACTGGGAGATCCAAGGGATATGGCTTTGTCACGGTGAGTTGCATTCTTGCTTCAGAAAGAGCAGCTGTCAATCTTCAGTTTCCCTTAGTTATGTTGACTTACATATAATATTTTCCATTTTGTCAGGGCCACCAACTGCTTGTGAATCCTATTGCTGAAAAGCACCAATGAAACTTGTTACATTTCAAAAGCAAGACAAAACTATATACAAACTCCTTTGGACAAAGATAAAAACAAATTGATAGCTGAGCATTTTGCAAAAGAAACAGAAGTATTTGATGCTGTATTAAAACTGATCTCCAGAGGAAAACTTGAATACTGCATTCTTGAATACTTTATATTTATGTGCTACATGAAGCAACAAAAATAATTGGAAAAGTTTGGTTTCATTGAATTTCTTGAAGACATAACCAACAGTTCTAAACTTTCTTGGCAGAAACTCATATTTTGCTTATTTGAGGCTATGACACATAAAGAAGGTTGTTTGTCAACAGAATTTAATACAAGTAGGAATGCATCATGCATAACAGAAACTATCCATTTATGCCCTCCTGAGCCCTAGGTGACCAATTCAAATCCTTACATTGGGTTAGGAGTGTATCATGAACCATAGGTTGAGAGTTACTATTCTTTATCTACTAGTAGTGAGTATTTACAGGCATTCATATGTAAGTGCTTCTTTGACTTTGACATGGCGGATTGTTTGTTTAACACCAACAGTATCACAATGCAGAAGATGCAAAGAAGGCATTGGAGCAGTTGAATGGATTTGAGCTGGCAGGTCGTGCTATGAAAGTTGGGCATGTGACAGAAAGAGGTGAGGGAGGTGGAGGAGCATCCTTCCTTGACAATGATGAGTTGGATCGAGCTGGGATCGACCTTGGAGCCACAGGCAGACTCCAACTGATGGCCAAGTTGGCTGAAGGTTCCCTTTCCTTTCATTACTTTTTTACTAGTCATTGATTTTGTCTATCTCATGTAGCATTATAAATTGTATCTACTTTTTTTTTTCCAGGGACTGGATTAGAATTACCTGCAGCTGCTACATCAGCTTTGAACATGACAGCCAGTGGATTGATTGGGAATGGCACTTCTGCTATGCCTGCTCCTCCCATTGCCACTCAGTGCTTCATGCTCTCAAATATGTTTGATCCTACCTCGTAAGTATTTCCTCCTGCAGCCTTTGGAAACTTATTTTTTCTCCTTGAAGCACATTTCTGTCATTTGTAAGCACCTGTTCAAAGAAGTTTAAAAAAAATAGCTAAACTAATCTTTACATCATGAAAATGTCTCATTTCATCTTCCTGTCTGTGACATTTAATAGTGTCTGAAGGGTGTGGTTTTTTTATAGTCAAGAATTGACTATGATGCTTGGATATACAGGGAGACCAGACCTGGATGGGATGCAGAGATCCGAGATGAAATCATAGAGGAGTGCAACAAGCATGGGGGGGTGTTCCACATCTATGTTGACCAGTTGTCACCTCAAGGAAATGTCTATGTCAAGTGCCCTACAATTGCCTCTGCTGCTTCATGTGTCAATGCTCTCCATGGACGTTGGTTTGCTGGTCAGCTCCATTTATTGACTATTACTTTATTGACAAGAGCTCACACTGCATTATTTACATTAATTACTAATCCCATGATTTTTCATGTGTACCATTCTTACCTGAGGGCAACAACAAATTTGAGCAACAAGTACATTGTTAATTTGTAAAATAAGATTTTTTGATGCAAGGTCAAGAAGGGTATAAGGTATAAGGGGAGGTGAGTTATAACTATTGTATCTACTAAAAGCCTCTGCTTTCAAGACACAATGGAGGATATAAACATGAATTGTTTTTAATCTGTTTCCCTTATAGCCATGACAGAATACCTTTCAGTTAAGATTATGAGCCAACATTTATCCTGTTCTTCATCTGCAGTGACTATTTTGTATGTGAAAGTCACTAAAAAAAACTTTGAGTCACTCTTTAACATACTTGGAATTAAGTGGAAATTGTCTGCTCATTCATCTGAGAATTTACCCTTCTCCACATACTGTGTCAAATATAATACAAGCCATCAAATTGACATTATTTGTATGTTAGAAGTATTTATACCAAGTGCATAACATGGGATATTAGATACAAAGCTCCCAACATGCCTGTAATGTGCTGCCACCTGTTCACTAACTGAGCAAAATGCTACCTCTGCTGTGTATAATTTTGCATTTATAATTTTTTAACAGAAGAAAAATTAATGTGGGTGTAAGAGTTAAGATGTCATTTTTCCTCCAGACAACATCCTGCCTGTATTGTACAATCTAGGAAGATGAATGTATCAGAGGTCTTAAATTGAAAGTAAAAGGCAGAATTGAGTTTTCACTTAAGTTGAATCTTCAATTCCATCATAATTGAATGGAGTTTAATCATTTTTTTCTTTTAACAATGAAGGGCAGAGATTACATTAAACTGCATGTGTGAATTTGAAAAACCTCCATGCCTCAGGGAAATTCAGCACTTCTGGTTTGGGTGAATGGCAAAATTCCTAATATTGATAAAATCCTATCTAAACTATATTTTTTCTGTTTCATTTCACATGGAGAGAAGTTCCTTACAAGTTGAAAGCATGGAAGTATGGTAGACAGGATGATGTGAGATAGTATGACATTCAGTATGTGATAGGACTGTGGGGAGCAATTGAATTGGTCAGTTATAGAGGTATGCACAGAAACCATTGCACTGCAGCAAGCTGCATTAAATTGATGACAGAATGTCCTCACTACCTTCTTGTCCAATACACATTTCCATGCTCTTTCTGCTTCTATGATTCTGCCCTCCAATGATAAATGACTGTGAGTGATATGTTATGAGAAACTGAAGAGTTCAAGCTATTTCCAAACACCAGGCAGAATTTAATTCTATGCACCTTTTACGTTCCTAGTTGATTTTCATAGATACTTTCGTGGAAAAGCAGAGCACACCCACCAAGGGGCTAATTAGTGAGAATGTATTTAACTCTTGCATTACATATGCACTACTTGTCATTTGCAAGTGCATATGTACTGTATGTTCAGCATCATGTGAAATGAATCCTTGACTGCAAATTAATGCCAAAGGAATTCATATTCCTTCACTTGGTTGTATTGATTGAATTTTATGAATTACATATATTTTGTGTTCCAGGGAGGATCATCACAGCTGCCTATGTGCCACTCATCAACTATCATAACTTGTTTCCGGATTCTCTGAGTGCAAATCAGTTGATCATGGCATCACGAGGGAATTGATCCCTCTCTCTCTTTCCCCTTGTCCCTGGACCTGGATATCATCTGCAAACTACATAGAATTCATATGAGAGATCCGTTTGTTGGTGTATTTTAGCAAAATGGCAAGAGTCAATGACGTGATTTCCCTCTCCTATTGCTCTTATCTTGAGCACAGTCACACACATTCTTCTTTGTACAAAGACCTTGTGAGAATGATGGGATCATTCTGAATGAAGTTGTTGATGAAAATGCCTCTCCTCACTTTTTCATTAATCTCTCAAGTGTTGAAATTACTCAGAAGCCCCTGTAGTGGGGGCTTTCTTTTCCCTGAAAGTTATTAGTAGTGTTTGTGTATAGAAATTCACTGCTCTTTTTCAAGTTGTAAGTTTTTATAGGAGTAGTAACTTTCTATTTGAGTAACAAATTTATATTTCTAACCCATGGATTTCAGATTTCGAGTTCATATTTAACTCAAACTCAAAAAATAGCATGATGTATGTGTGTGTCAAACCCATGTAGGGAGTGTTTCGCCATGATGGATATACAGGGTGGTCCACAATTGTCTCCCCAAAGGAAAAGCTTGTTAATCAGAAACTATACATCCGATTTCAATGATATATAACTCAAACTAGAGCCAATTCCGTATATTTTTACTGTAAAAAATTTCAATGTATCAATGGCCAATGAGAGACGTTTGTGCTGGTACAAGACCAGTGGTATCTTCAGTGGGGGAGACCACCACACACGACCTATAGAAACAATATTTCTCTCCTCTCCTTTGCCACTGATAAGAGTGTAGAGAGCAGAGATGAAAGTACAGGGTGGTCCAAAGAAAGGGGCACGCTTTTTATTGCGCATTTTAGGTGTGATGCTTTCACAGAAATTTTCGCCGGTTACATATAATGGAAAGAAGAAAGACTACTATAAAATGCTTTTTTAGGCTTGAAATATCCTAAACGTTGACCTAAGAAAATAACAGATTGAGTTTTGGTTATGAAAAATCGGCGTCGCTCACCGGCTCGACCCAACATCCCATTGACGGCCCAACACTCACGAGAAGGGGAAGGGAAACGCTGACCTCAGCAGACGTCGTGAGGATGATTGGATGTGCCTGCCGCCGAAGGCGGTCGTTGAACGCAACACCGATTTTTTTCAACTAAAATTCAATAATTTTTTTTAGTCACCGTTTAAGTTATGTCAAGTCTGAAAAAAAAAAAAACATTTTGTAGCTAAGTCTTTCTTCTTTCCACTACATGTAACCGGCTAAAATTTCCTTCAAAGCATCACACCTAAAATGCGCATTAAAAAGTGTGCCCTTTTTTGGGGCTACCCTGTATCGGAATCAGTTTATGGAGATCTGTCCGGAGTGCTCCACGAATGGACGATGCTTTCTTCTTTCACCAACCTGCTTTTCCAACGTTGATAGCACGAGGACAGGTTTAAGTAGTCTGTGGAAATTAAAAAGCAAAAAAATGCCAAATTGAATTTAAAGCATGAGACGAATGATGAGAACGAAAGAAAACTGTCCAAAACTGGAACTTCGGCCAAGTCGGAGATGAAAACAACTGCAAAGCCAGAGAAAGGAAAGGCAAATGTCCTGCCAAAAGGACATTTGCCTATGGGTCTGTCCACGGTGTCGGACGTAACATTCGAGTAATATGTTTAGTATTCAAAATGTATTTAACTATATTATGGATGACGAATCAGTATATAAAGGCTGCAATAATTTGCTTTGGGTAGTGACTGAAAATTCCTTAATCCAAAGTCTTGCACTCTCTTTTGTTAGAGGTGTAGTGCAAAGTAAAGTGTCAGACGTGACATTTCGTAAACCCTCAAGCTAAAGTCACTTACTCTAGTGTTCACATATCTTCATCGAGCGGACCCTAATAATTTAGTTTCATGTTCATTCTATAGATTAAATGAAAGCCTAAAATTAGTGTAAGTCACCCCAAGATTACGACACTTAAAACAGAAAGTAAGCCCTTTTTGTGACGGTGTCGGATGTGACATGTTCTGAACATGTATTTTGAAACGAGAAGTCTGTACATATCTTTTAATTTTATTTTAAAGATATTCAAATGTGAACATTTGACATCTACTCTTCTACACCTGAGCTGATTTGAAATTATCAGTATGCATGGAAAGCCCAAGCTGGCATCTGTTCCAGTAGTCCAATTCAGTCTCTCCAGATTTGCATTTTCATCACATTTTTGAGTATCATGAGAGTGGTATGAATAATATATAATCATAACTAATTCTTTCATTTTTCAATGTAATATTCTCTTTCATTCATGTATTCTGGGAAAAGAGATAATGAACTTCTGCAGCGAAAGTAATATTTGCATATTTAGGAAAATTTCCGGCTAAAATCAGAGGACCACTTGGCGTGGATAGACCCCTATCTTTCGCCGTTTAGGATTTATGGGATTCTAATAGGGCATTCGAGCTGATCGGACTTCAAAATCTTATTTTCGAGGAAGTTTTTTCTTTCTCATGTAAAATTTGAAGTTCTCAAATGTCCTTGAGGTAACGTACCAATATGGGACACGATCGGCCTGTCAAGCGGAGATAAATGCGGCGGAAACCTCCATCAATATCTTCTTGAACTCATCGGGTGAACATCCTGGGAATGGAGGCTTAGGATGTATGGGGTGTCTCACAAGTGATTAATCGGGATTATGGGGCATGGCTTCAATGCTGTCGTAACCATTAGGATGCCAAAGTGATCTTAACACGTAACTATCCCGATCCAAGTGATCCTTCTTGACCCAGTGATGGAAAGTGACCAAAGTGGGTCAGATTTAGTGATGAGGCGATTTCGTCATCACAGCATCCTGTCAGGTAGACAGACATTTGCATGTAATGTCTAACAGTCTAGGCAGGTCCATAAGCTTGAATCCTAGGACTCCTGACTGGTGAGACGCCCTGAAGAAGCGGGAACTTTTCTCGACGTCATTCCTGGAAAGCCCCACGTAATGATAGTTTTTACCCTCGAGAGTGCACTTACCACTTTCTTTAATCCTTCCCATGTGATCATGGAGCAATCGAACTTTAAATTCCACTCTCCAATCCCCGCTGTTGCGCCATGGCTTATCACTGGTCACGACACGCTATCTCGTCAGCAGTATTGGGCAGGTCGCATGCGAAAAGTAACGAATTACAATTACAAGCATTCCATCCCAAAGTAATTTGTTACACGAGAATTACTCCTCAGCTTGAGTTACGATTTAATTTCCAAGTTACTTTTCCAAAGCCCTGATGACTGAACTCATCTTTCGACAGAATTTAGTGAATGATATTACGTTTTGCATTATTTCATTTTGGCATCGGCGGTTTCATGGGTTCACTCGCACGTGTTAGCTCCATGAAGGAGTCGTTCCGCAAAGCTGGTCTCAAAAATCGTGCTTCTCTGGGTGAAAAAATGTGGGATCTAAATGGCCGCTCCGCAGCGGCACCGGCAGGGATGGAGATTTCATCAGCTGCATTTTCGGCCTTCCGAGTCGTTTCGATCGTGACGAGGATGAATCTAGAGCACCGGTCACTTTCGGTTGAAATTGCGTATGCCATTGCAAAAGTAATGCGTTACAATAACGTCAATTTCTAAAGAGAAAGGAACTAGGCTGAAGGGTTGGGTCGTCCATAATCACGTTCCGAGTATTTTCAGCATTCATCCTAGTTTCACTCCTTCACTCTCTCCCCTCACCCCTTCCTCCCCCCCCTTATATCCCAATTAGGCCTAATTAGGACTAAAGTGACACGTTTTCGTACGAGCGTCTCGATCTCTTCGTTACTTACGGATCGTCACCGAACTCGTTCCACGCGTTCACTACGCGAAAAGTGAAAACATAATTTCGTAACTTGAGCCTCACTTGAGGCTTACGCAACTCGAGCTGGTTCCCCTTCGTTCTGTCGCTGCCGTCGAATTAGAAGAAGCCACCGGGGCTGACGTCACGGATGCCCTATTAGAATCCCATAAATCCTAAACGGCGAAAGATAGGGGTCTATCCACGCCAAGTGGTCCTCTTCCCCCCCCCCCCCCCCGTCCCCTTCCCCCCCCCCCTGCCCCCCTTTCCCCCTCGTTTGTCTTCTCACCGAATACGGCCCCGGATCTAGATGTCCTTTTTTCGAAAGTCCTCGTAACTCTTTCATGACTGCAGAGCCACTCCTCTAGATCCTCTCCAAGGTCGTCGGATCCCTTTTACTTGCAGGCCGACAAAATCGAATGCAATACCTTGCCGATTCCGCGTAAGACCAAAAAAAAAAAAACGCGTGAAACTCCTCACCGGCGATTCGATGCCAGATTCTGCCAAAAATCGTCATATATAATGCATCCTAGAACCCCATCGTCATCGTGGGCAACGTGAAGAGCCTTTTCTTTTGAGAACCTTTTCCTTCTTTCGTGGAATTTCGCGAGCCACTTGTCTCCACTCGTCCAAAAAGCTGTAACTTGCTTCCCTCCCGATCTTCCTCGCGATGGAGAAACGGCAGGGTGGGCCAGAGAAGACCGATACTAATTAATTGCGTACGAAATCCGTTTTGTTATTTTTGGTGCGGCTATTAGATACACTGTCGTAAAGTGTCGGAGATCTTAAATACACGAACCAAAACATCTCCCTCGACTCGATGCACGATCGTTTGTCGAAAACGATACGACGCAGATGGTCTCCATCCTCGACCTCACGTTGACCTTGCTCGCAAATCGTGAATTCGTGGACGGTCACCATGCCGACATTCCGCATGGCCTCCCTGACGTCATCCTTCGAGTCGATCCGGGGTAGAAAGGCTCGTTTCGGCATGCAGTTCCCTTCGAAGTTCCCCACAGGTGTCGGGGAGGGGGGGGGGGGGTCGTCAGATCTAGGCCTTTTTGTCGGCGAAGGAATGTCCTCGAACTGGGACATGAGGCGATTGGGAAACAACGCGTTCGGAATTGGGACCGTCTGCGTCACATCATTTGTCAAGAAATAATTGTGTATCGAATGGAGTGAGATATTTTGGTTCCCGTATTTCAGATCTCCCACACTTCTACTCCACGGGAGCATATTGCATACCTGTACCTAAAATTAACAAACCGATGTCATGCGCAATTTAATCGGTATCGGTTTTCGCTGGCCCATCCTGTATATTCTCGTGTCGGGAATCTTGTGATTTTCCACGAGGCCTCGCCTTCGACGACGCGTGCAGACGAGAAAGTGAACCGGCGAGAAGCCTCGATCGACTCCACTCGCGACCCCCGACGATTTCAGGACACTTCCCCC